TATTGACTACAAAAAACTCAACTTAGCCACTCGGAAAGATCACTTCCCTCTTCCTTTCATTGACCAAATGTTAGAGCGTTTAGCAGGACACGAGTTCTTTTGTTTCCTGGATGGATATTCAGGCTACAATCAAATCCCTATCGCTCCCGAAGATCAGGAGAAAACCACCTTCACTTGCCCGTATGGAACATTCGCATACCGACGCATGCCCTTTGGACTGTGTAACGCACCGACCACATTCCAACGTTGCATGATCAGCATTTTTTCCGACATGGTAGAGCAATTTCTCAAAATTTTCATGGACGACTTTTCCATTTTTGGTGACACATTTTCCTAATGCTTGCATCATCTTAAACTGGTCCTAGAACGGTGTAGGAAGAAAAATCTGACTCTCAATTGGGAGAAATGTCATTTCATGGTCAAACAAGGCATTGTCTTAGGACATGTAGTTTCCAATAGGGGAATCGAAGTGGACAAAGCTAAGGTAGATCTCATTTCCAATCTCCCTCCTCCCAAAACTGTCAAAGATGTCAGATCGTTTCTTGGTCATGCTGGTTTTTACTGACGTTTCATCAAGGATTTCAGCAAAATTGCTAGACCCTTGACCAATCTCTTAGCTAAGGATACATCATTTGTCTTCTCTCCCGACTGCCTCAAAGCTTTTGAATATCTAAAAAAGGAGCTAACCACAACTCCTATCATTCATGCACCGGACTGGACCTTACCCTTCAAACTGATGTGTGATGCATCTAATTCTGCGATTGGTGCTGTTTTAGGACAACGGTTTGATGGAAAACCGCATGTGATCTACTACGCTAGTAGGACTCTGAATGATGCCTAGCAAAATTACTCTATCACAGAAAAAGAGTTTTTAGCTGTAGTCTTTGCCTTAGAAAAATTTAGGTCCTACCTCATCGGTTCCTTAACCAAAGTTTTCACAGATCATGCCGCAGTAAAGTATCTTTTAACCAAAAAGGATGCTAAAGCATGACTCATTAGATGGATTCTCCTTCTTCAAGAGTTTGACATTCAAATTCTTGACAGAAGAGGAACAGAGAACCCCGTAGCAGATTACCTCTCTCGACTCCCAAATGCACCAACATCAACCGTTCCGATCAATGAATATGTCCCAGATGAACAACTCCTAGAAATCCAATTTGTTCCATGGTTCGCCGACATTATGAACTACATAGTCATGAACCAGATCCCTTCTCATTGGTCCAAATAGGATAGATCATGTTTTCTCTTCCAAGTAAAATACTTTTACCGGGATGATCCATATCTGTTCAAATACTATCCTGATCAGATCTTTAGGAGGTGTGTTCCCACCGAAGAAACTAGGAATGTTCTATCCTTTTGTCATGAGCAAGCCTGTGGGGGTCACTTTGGTCCGAGAAAAATAGCTGAAAAAGTTCTCCAATCTAGGCTGTATTGGCCCACTCTCTTCAAGGATTCATTCGAGTTTTGCAAAACCTATAACCGCTGTCAGCTTTTAGGGAAGGTCACTAGAAGAAATATGATACCCTTACAACCCATCTTATCCGTTAAACTTTTTGATCTATGGGGTATGGATTTCATGGGACCATTTCCAAATTCCTTTGGAAATGTTTACATTCTAGTAGCCGTTGAATACATATCAAAATAGGTTGAGGCGGTAGCTTGCAAAACTAATGACAACAAGGTCGTTGTCAAGTTTTTGAAAGAGAACATTTTTACACGGTTTGGAGTACCCCGAGCAATCATCAGTGATAACGGTACGTATTTCTGTAACCGTTTTTTTGAAGCTTTGATGAGGAAATATTCAATCACACACAAATTGTCAACTCCTTATCACCCCCAAACCAGTGGACAAGTAGAGGTCACAAACAGGCAGATCAAACAAATCTTAGAAAAAACAGTTAATCATAACAGAAAAGATTGGTCTGTAAAATTATGTGATGCTTTGTGGGCATGTAGAACAGCTTTCAAGGCCAATTTGGGGATATCACCATATAGACTAGTGTTTGGAAAAGCTTGTCACCTACTAGTAGAGTTGGAACATCGAGCAATGTGGGCGATAAAACAGTTAAATTTTGATTCAGACTCGGCAGGTAAGAACAGATTGCTCCAAATTAATGAGTTGGAAGAAATTCGAAATGATGCATACATAAACTCAAAAATTTACAAAGAAAAAACCAAGATTTTTCATGACAAATCAATTTTACGAAAAAATTTCTCTCTAGGACAGAAAGTTTTATTGTACAATTCAAAATTATATTTTTTTCCTGGAAAATTAAGATCAAGATGGACATGTCTATTTATTGTAAAACAAGTTTTCTCACATGAGGCTGTCGAGATAGAAAATCCTAAAAATAGTAATATTTTTAAAATAAATGATCAACGTCTGAAACCATTTTTAGAATTTTCTACGCTCGGAGAGGAAGAGATATTAGTTCTTCATGAACCTCATTATCTATAAAAAAAACTAACTTTTATTTTCCTAGAAAAAAGTAGGATTTGTTTTAGTTAGGTTGATTGTTCTAGGCATTATTGGGTCGCGATCAGTTCCCATTGGTGCAAAGTCTTAGAAGTCAACAACAATTGGAAGAAGTGTATTGGCAGAAAGATAACTCGTTGTTCTAGCTTTGGTAGGGGGTCCTTTCTTGCGTTTGTGCTGAGCTCATGGCAACTTGAAACACTTCATTGATATGGAGACTTTGGGGCGGCGAGATGAGATGACAATTTTGATGGATCGTTCCTTTCTGGAGGAGGATCGACGTCGGTTGTCGAGCATTGGTTCTGGTTCTGGAGTTTCGATATATTTGGGTCATCCTAGTTAGGTCGCGGACTGCTGCATTAGGAGTTATTGAATCTAGTGGAGCTGCTTCAGATTTTGGTTGGCGTCGGATATTTGGTTACCCAGCATTTGTTCACATCGAGGATATGAGATTTGATCCGATTACGCGTTTGGGATTCAAAGGCTCATTTGATTATCGTTTGGGAGCTTCTGATTTTGTTCTGAGTAGGAATGTCACTTTTGACTCTCAACAGGTAGAGAGTGTTGATCAGGTCATTTGGATATCGCAACAGGTGGATGGTGATGCTACTTCACGTTGGATGGAACTTATTCCACATACTCCAGATCATACTGCGTCATTTGGGATTCCAGCTGAGGTGACACAGGTTGGGGATCATTTGATTTCGGATGCAGATGATGGATTGGTTTTGGATTCGGTTGCAGCTGGTGGACATGATTTGGATACGACCATTGGTTCACCTCAGATGAAGGTGTTTGATTTGTATCAGTTTGGGACCGCTATCAGTTGTAGATCCATTGGCGATATTGGGGAAGAGTTGCAGACTTTTCTATTTGATTGAGGGCCTTCGGAGGCCGTTTGGGTAAACTACGTGAAGGCTTGATTCCTTAGGCAAGAGGATACGTAGGTAGTCTTTATGATGTAGCCGATTTGGTGAGTAGATACGGACGTTTGGGTGAGTGTTCGCACTCCCGTTTGGGTCTCGACTTGTTAAGGATTGAGAAGCAGCAAGTGAGGCATTTGGCTTGGTTGGTGTCGACTCAGTTTTGGTAGAAACTTCGCCGAGGTGGAGAATTAAAGAAACCGCGAGAAGTTTAGTGAAGAATAGGTGTTGGAAGAGATCAGGGTACTGTTTGGGAGCTGCGCGGTCGACTGCGGTGCAAGGCCGTTCGACCGCAATCGTGCACGGATCCAGGATTTGTGCCTGGACTTGGCGCGGTCGACCACCACGGTCGACCGCCACGGTCGACCGCCAGACCTTGTAGGCGATTTATGGTCTCTGTCGTTGGATCGCGGTCGACCGCGAGATTGGGGGCGGTCGACTGCCAATCGGGTCAAAAGCCTAGTTTTGTTTTCCTGTTCTTATTTGGTTTTTGTGTTTGTATAAATACCAATACACGTTCTAGGGTTTCTTAAGGGAAGAGTTTGGGATATTTGGAGCACAGAAAAGAGGTATTTTCTGAGCTATTTGATTAGGATTTATTTGGAGAGATTAAGAGCTTTGTTGGTGAGATTAGTTTGTTCCTTCGAGTGATTTATAATCTCAAGTTGTACTCTTCTTCTCTATTAGTGAAAACCTCATCCCCTTCTTGCCCCGTGGACGTAGGCAATTGCCGAACCACATTAAAATTGGTGTTTTATTTGTGCATTGATTTTGGTTGGTTTTGGCCCTCTTTGATCGGCGTTTGGTTTGGTTCCTCGACACGGTTTTCAACAACAATTGGTATCAGAGCACAACATGAAGATCATTGTATACTCTCGACCCTGTTTATCAAGAACCATAACATCCTGTGAAGGCTTGGTATGTGATCGGATTGCTAGCTCGATCAGCAGCATCGAGTTCTTAAAGTCATCCAGGCCAAGCTTGTACTGGTTTATGATCTTTCCTTGCGTCGGTTAGGGTGACCGTCTTTGTCACGTAGAACGCACGTCGAGATAGACCTCTCTTAGCCGCTGCCTGCTCCCATGCCTCTTCCTATGTTGGAGGATGGTTCTCTTCTTCTTGTTGTTGCGTTGAACAAGAAGAAGAGGATGGCGAACATTGGATCATCGGAAAAATTAATCTTCCTGATTTTCTTGAAAGGAACTGTGTCAACTGTTCACGTGGTTTCAATATTACGAGGGAATTAGGGGTTTATATAGAATAATAGCGATGAATCCTAGTTGAGGTGGAACTAGGGAACGGGTAATGAAATTTTCCCAGTGCTCGGTCGGTCCTAACCGAAGTAGGAAGCCTTAGAATATTGGGAAACCTAACGGCAGTGAAATATCTGGCTCGTCCAATCTCTCACGATCTTGTGGGTCTCCCGCGAAGTAGGAAGTCTTATAGAGTGCTACTCAAGGAATGGGCCGAGCATTAAAAAAAGAGTGGTGATAGGAGCACACCCCCAACCACACTCTTCACCACACCTCCTCTCCCTCTACCCTTCACCACACTTCCTCTCCATCTATAGTGCATTGGGTCCAACATCAAATTTTTAAAAAAAAACCTTAAACTGGATTTGGCCTTTTTCACGCAAATTAGGGCCGAAAGAGACCACACATCGCGTTCAGGTTCCCTACCGCCTCCAGATCAAACTCGTCGGACGCCGGAGCCGATGGCGACCAATCCCCAACCAAACCAAGAGCAAGAGTCTCAATTCCCAATCCGAAGACTCGAACTCGCCGACAAATCCAAAGGATTCATCGATCTCCTCTCCCAGCTCAGCTCCTGCCCCCAGATCTCCGACGCCCAGTTCGATCTCCGGTTCAACGAGATCGCCTCTCTCGGCGACGACCACGTGATCTGCGTCATCGAGGACCCGGTCTCCAACCGGATCATCGCCACCGGCTCCGTCTTCATCGAGAAGAAATTCCTCCGCGGTTGCAGCAAGGTCGGCCACATCGAGGACATCGTCGTCGATAAGGAAGTCAGAGGGAAGAAATTAGGGCAGAAGATGATTAGATACCTCTCGGACCACGCTAAGGGGGTCGGGTGTTATAAGGTGATTCTTGATTGCGAGCCGGACCGCAGGGGTTTTTATGAGAAGTGCGGGTTCGTTGAGAAGAACGTCCAGATGGCGATTTATTTCTGATGAGGTACATTTCGTTTTCGTTTCGATCTATATATGGAAGTTATATAAAGTTTTCTAATAATTTTTACAGAGAAATAAATGTATCTGATTATCATTGCAAATAAAACGTCCAGGTAATAAACAATTAATCGGGAGTATATAACCAATAATCAGCTTTGAAGATTGCTCATTTCTATAACTTTAAACAGCTTTGAGGAAATCAAATGTCAAGTCCTCCTTTTTCTATCCACATTGTATGTGTTGCAACTCAGTAAAGAAACCTTGGACTTTATCTTGGTCAAATGTCAGCTATGTTATAGTGCGTACAAATTTGGGTAGTTCCAAAAGGATGAAATTCCCGTCGCGAGGAAACGGGTTTAAATCCTGTTGCCAGGGAGCCAAAATTCAAGGTCTAGTGTTGGAAAGGGAAGTTAGTGCTTACATTGCCGTGTGGAGTGCTGTAGGATGGTTTGTATCGCAAGGTTGATGTATTTCAAAAAAAAAAAACATCAGGTAACTAGAGTAAAGGCTAAATGGGTTTGTGTGCACAAGACAAAAAAAATTCAACTAGCAAGGAGGAACTTTGTTATGCATAAAGTGAGGATAAGGATGAAAAGACTGATTTTCAAGATTAAATAGTCGAAAGTTAGAAGGAAACAAAGAGAATGAAATAGCGACATAGGAGAAATAATTAATCCTTGAAAGAGCTCTTAGATTTTTTTTTGGCCCCTCAAATTAACTTTTCTTTATGTATGTTTTCCACATCTATTTAAACTTATTAGACCTGCATCTAAAACTACAAAGAAGGCAAACTAATTTATGTGGCCTTTTGTGATTTGTTCCTACAAAGTACAAGTGTTTGAGATCTTAAAACATCTGATAAAAAAAATATTTCGTAGGGGTCTTGTTATTTCCTTTCTTGGCAACATGATGTTTCCTTTGGTAACAATGAATGCGATCCTCGGTCAACAATTATAATTTACTGCATGAGAACGATTGATAGGTGATGAGGTCAACACAGAGAGGTACAAGGAATACTGGCCTTCAATAACTTCAAAGTTCCCATTCCTGCAGGTACCTTGAGAGTATAAACTCATCTGATTCCCTGATCTAGCTAAAATAATCTAAATATTTAAGCAAATTACTGGACTTAAAAACAAAACGGAAAGGAGAAATGGTATCTATCCTAATTCTTGAGCAATCATAAGTTGTTATCAGCCATCTATAGCATCGACATGCCTCTTCACAGAGCTCCCCGGAAATCATATGGTACGTGTATTGATGCTTAACTCTGAATTTATTGGCAAAAACTTTTTGTTATTACCTCCAACCATAGATATATTCTGATATATAACCTGTTTAATATGAATCAATTGAGAATTAACCCAATTTATGCGCTAATTGGAGCAGATTAAAGCTTATGACAATCTAGGTTTCAGTCCTAATGGACGAATGATTTAACAATGTGTCAAATATGTTGATTGCCCTGGAAATCCTTGGTCTTTCATTACTAGCCTCCCATGTCACCTGTTCAATGGTGTTATGATGGAATGGTTCCATTTTAAAGAATCAAAATGGAGGCTTTATATGTGCCATGAATGTTATTGAGAGTTGTTATATAAACTAATTGTGATTGTGGATCACTCTCAATAACATTCATGGAACATGTAAAGCTACGTTGATGCATTGGAATGATTAAGAGAAAACAAAAAGAAGATTGACTTCGGAGTTGAAGATGTGAAGGAAAACTAATAGGGATCAAGCAGGATAAATATTGGAAACTACATTTAGTTTTCAAAAATGGTGGCGATGGACAAAACAAATCTAGATCTTAACCCTTCAGTAGCTCTCAAATGTTATCATACATGAGCCTGGACACTTATTTGCTCTTGCACTAAGATAAGTCCATTAAGTAGGAAAGTTATTAGATTTTAATTTTGGAAAGTGTAGTCATCTAGAGTAGTTAGTGTTTTATTTATTTATACCTCGTGATAATCCTTCGCTTGGTAGCATTTCCTTTTGCACTGAAAAAGTGATAACATTTGAATCTCTCATGAATGTTGTAGTCAATGAATTCACAGAGATGGTTTCTTGACTAAATCTTTTTGGAAGATATTTAGAATCGAAAAGCTGTGAATACATTCTCATGCATTGCTTGTTTAAATAGCTTGATGGGAAAGCCTAGACTAATTTTTGCTTTTAAGATCTTTTTATGACAAAAACGTTGCAATAGTTAAATGAACCAGGGGAAATATCAATCATCAAACTTTACAGATTACATAATATCCAGGAACTGTATAGATTTCCTGTAATATTAGAAGAGAGTAATTTCTTACAATAGTAACCTTCCTGAATAGGTAGACATGCTACATTGCTTTAAACATAGATCACTGACTAGCCTAGGAAGGTCTGCTCCTAGTGCTATAAATCCCTTCCTTTTGGTATCTCTGAGAGGCAAGGTATTCTTGGACGAAAAATCTCAAGGAAAAGATTCTTCGTCGTGGAGTAATTTTTGGGGAAAGCAGAAGGTTGATTTTATCATAAAAGAAAATTTAGAGGAAAGAGGATTTTAGAGTTTTTCACAGTACATTTTACAAGAGGAATAGAACATAAGGAAAATTCTTTATTTGGTTTAGATTAATTTAGAACCTAGAAGCAGGGGATTAATAGCAAAGAATAGTTGTTACAAACTTTTTCTTCCTTGTGCCACTGCTTTTGCGACTTATTGTTAATATTAAGTAGCTGTTCTCAGTCAAAACGATTGTTGATTTTAGAAACATAAAAGGTAAATGGCAAGAAACTAAGAATATTAACAAATGTTTTAGATGTGGCTAATGCAGTAATTTTCACATTAATTGCATAAGATATAGATGCCCAGTTGTATTTCTCTTATTGAAGATCCTACTTTTATGAGGAATTTCTGGATTTAAAAGATGTAAGTTGTCTTGATCAAACATATAAATCCAATTTGGACTTATCAGAAATATGTAACCGGAAGCTTTATTTATCTTTTCATTCTCTTGAATATGCTTCTTTTTATTAAGTTATGACTAGCTAACTTTTTGTTAAGTTCCAACAACGATTGTAAAGATATAATGAAAAGTTTTGTTGATATAATTTGTTAATAATCTCCTATAAGGCTATAACTAAACCGAAGCAAGAAGTAGCTGAACTTCTATGCCTCTGGAACTGTTCTCTACTAATTTCATGACTCCTACCATTCACAAATAACTTATAACGAAATGAATTTTCCACTTTGTGACTGGACAACCTACAGATCGACTCTCATTCAAGGGTTTATGTGAGTACTACAAGAAGATGATTTTGCCGCTGACCGTGCGGAGTCGGTGATCTAGTCATTAGGGTGGTACTACTTGCATATCCTACTGCCAATATCTATTAGATGTGGTGAAGGACAGTTCTATAGTATGGAGCAGACAATTATATGTAATAAATCAATGTTTCAAAGAAACTGTCCTTCGGTAAAACGAAATTATACATGTAAGTGGAAAATGATTGTCACCATTCTTTGAAGCCGGTTATCTTTTATTCTTCTTGTAGTTAAGATTTGGATATTTATCCTTGGTTATTATCACACATTTTTATACCATGTCATGTTTTAAATTTATGTTAGCTGTCATTTTACATGAGGACTTTTTTGAGTTTTGACAATTATCACGTCAGGTGAGATCACTTTTAGTTGTTGGACATTTCTTGAATGGTCGAACTAAGTAATCAATTCCTAAATAGATAAATAGAAGGGTAAATTTCATGCAATTATCCTAAAATATTTTTATTGGAGAAAACAACCAAAAACTTTGAAGATCAGCACAGAAGATCTCCCCCCCCCTCCCCCCCCCCCCCCCCGACGCTTTAAAAACACATTTATAAAGATTAAAATATCCCTAACCCAGAGTGAAGGGGGGTGAAAATGAGGGTTAAATCATCTGACAAAGATCATGTAATTATGCTTTTAGCTAATGCTAGTTGGGCACGATAGTTTACTGATTTTTTTTATCATATTTCCTCCAATAATATAATTTAGTGTAGTTTTCTACAAAACCTCTAAAGTTTATGGTAGTTATGTGAAATTTACCTACATAGAAAGATGTTAGCAAAGCTGTAGTTAGCACATGCCATGAGCTATCTGTGGGATCACGGTTTCTGTGGGATCACGGTTTCAACTTGACTCATTTACTAGATCAAATCTGATCCGAGTTTAATGGGCGTTATTCACGTATAATTGGGTGTCGGAGACAACGCAGATGATCTGTTTATCAAGCCGGTTGGATCTGAGTCTTAACCTTTTGCACAGTTTACCCGAGATGACCTACTACTCAATATGTCCTGTTGCGAGTTAGTTGAATTGTGTAGTTTCTAAGGCTCTACATATTGTCTGTGGGTCGAATCATACCACAAGCATCAATAACTTTCATTAAATTTAAAACTCAAATTACAACCTTCTAGCTCACCTGAAGAATCGCTATTTGAAAGGCTATATTTGTCAAATGCAGGTAACTGATTTAAATTAGAGCTTGGATTGGGTTTGAGATCCTGACCCATTTATTAAACTTGTAAGGATATCCTTGGGTTGGCAAACGGGTCGGGCATATGTCCCATATTAAACAGGTTATTTGAGCCAGATATTGACAACCCATTAAGTATGAGTTCAGTATCCTTACCCTTTTAAACCGGTCTAGTCATCTTAAGGGTGGCAATGGTTCAGGTTTTTTGGATTGTAAATGGTTCAGGCTCTGGTCAAGCTGATACGGGTCAGGTCAAATCTGACCTAGAATGAGCCAATCTGACCTGTTTGTCACCTGGGTCTCTCTTTGCCATGCACAAACTTGCTTGCAGTTTATTTTGCCGTTTAATTGGATTCGTCGTGTGCTATAAGATATGAAAGGCTTAAACATTTGATATCCCTTCATAGAAGGGTTCTGATGTTATCAGTTTAAGCTCTAGGCTCTGTGGTTCTAACTTGTTTAGAGGGACTGTTCGATGTTTATTTGCAAAATGCAGGATGAGATGTCTGACCGAATTGGGAACAGGATGATTTTTCCCAATGCATGTTTCAGTTTTCAGGGATATTCTCTTGGTCACATATTTCAGAACTATTTTTCTACCTCAATGTTGAGTAGGAAGAGAAAACCATAAGAAATAACATCCAGGAACGACTAGTTAGTTCCTAAAACTCCATTGTTTTTCCATTTCTTTTTTCAGTTTGAATCCTGTCAATCTGACTGTATTTGGATTGTTTCAATTTATAGATACAACGGCTTTTACCCTTCTGGATGCAATTAACTGTTTGGTATT